TTTGAATCTGAAAGAGGAAGTAATTTGAGAACATCATTGAATATAAGATACTGAAATACTACATGAGTGCTTGAAAGTCCAATAGAAGTTCTGTGATTTGGGATAATGTGTGTGTGTGTGTGTATATGATGTAAGATGGGTTGCAACTATCTACAGAATTTAGAAGTTATTTTTAATCACAATTATATTGACCTTTTATTTTTTAACAATTTATTTCAATGACAATTGCTTAAATGGTTAAAGTTTCAAAAAGGAAACATACAGCAGACACATAGAATTTGCATTCCAAGAATGTTTTAAATGTCTTTTATTGTCCATACTCTGGCAGCCTTCACCAGATCTATTCAATATTAGTAGTGTTCAACTTGGTTCTGTTTGTTTATCATAGAGCAGTGCATTAAGAACAAGACAACTGCAGGATGCTGAAGGGACCTCTTGCTGGCTAAAGAACTGGAATGTCATTACCTCTGCTTTTATGAGGAATATGCCCACCTCCATTTTTTTATAGCTGAAACAAAATGATCCCCACGTACTCTCCCAGCTGCTACCCAGGAAGGGCTTGATTTTAGTGCCTAAAGAATTTCGTCTTTTACAATTTTTGGAATGTGTCCTGGCCAAAAGGTCTCTCATCAAAAGTTTCAGAAATAGGATTCAATAAATTATCTGAAATCAAGTATAATATTATTCTTTGTAAAGTTTCAAGCTGTTCCGGCCCAGCAGGATGGTAACATTTTGCTCTGTGTGAGGTCTGCAGTGTAAATACCTATTTGAAGATAGATAGAGCCATCATTCTGGCTTTGGTTTCAATGAACCAATAGTCTTACTGAAGTCAATTAAACTGACTCAGCCTAAGCTGCAACACTGTTTTAGACAGAAGAGTAAGGGTGTGTGGGGGTAATTTCTTTCTTCTTTTTTGCCTATGTGTCTGTGTCTGTGTGGGTCCTTAACTTTACTTCTGACAATGCCATCAATCTTAAGAAGAAATTTAAGCTAATTTCCTCTTTCGATTTTTTAAAAGCCATATACAAAACCATCAAATTATAGTGGTTTAAACTAAATATACTTTAGAAATCATGTAAAACTTCGAAACATTATTACAGCATGCCTAGTAATGATTGTGGCTGTCGCTGACTAATTTATAACAGCTGGTAGATCATTGTTTAATCTTTGGCCACATGAAAGTAAAACCCATAGATGAAAGGTAAGATAAATACTGCAATACACAGAAAAGTGTGGCCTACAACTATAGCTTATCAACAAATAGTAAGATGGGTGACAGAGACCTTCTGTATTTCTCTTTATTTATCAAGTAACTAAACAAAGGATTAAAAAGGCACCCACATGGGTTTGATGAGGGCACAAAAGAAGAAAATACATGACAGCATATTAGGATGCTGCCTTAAGATCACTTGGTACACAGAAAGTAATTTCTAAAAATCATATGCCTACAAGGTTGTTCAGCTGTTGGGTGGAACACATGCGTGGCTGGACTATAGTGCTGGATTATGTCATTAAAGAGTTCAGTTTCAATTTTAGGCTAATATGTAAATAGATCATTGTACTAAGGCAGCTGTTAAAGGGACCCCAGGATGAGTTATTTGTTTAGTTGGATGTGTTCAACAATAGCCTTTGTCCCTGAAAGAGCCAGAGCAAACAAATGATTGTAAAAGGGCACACTTGAAAACAATTACTTTTCACCCATTCCTTGACAGCTTTGGCTGTGAAACCACCCAAGGTAGAGAGAGCCTCTATGCCTCTGTGGCTACAAGTTAAGTTTTAGAAATGGGGGTATTTCAGTTGGCTGAGGATTCAATTTGGCTAATGGGAATTAGATCCTTTTAGCATGCTGTATTTAGGAGCTGCAAAAATATTGCTAACACAATATAACTTCCTAAATTTTGGCAGAACTTCTCTGAAATGGTACTTAGCAACTTCATTGCAATATTGCTCCATTATTAGTTAAAATATACACAAAAATAAAATATGAAAATGTAACACATGGCCAAGGAACTGAACTCAATGCCAGTTCATTAAAGAAAATGTATTAGCCTAGAAACTGTGTTTAATTGCACAGCTGATGAGCTTGCTCAATATTCCTGCCTTGTTTGTTATTATCTATTTGTCTGAGAAGTTTATTTCGTCAGGAAAAACTACCACTGCAGTTTCTTGAAAAGTTGCAGAAATCTTTGAGGAAAAAAAATTTTTTTCTTTCATAAACAAAAAAAGGGCCCTTTCAAATAACCATCATCTCTCCTGTATACACATTATGAAATAAGACCCTAACATATATTTTAATCCAGGAAGGCTTACGGGAAAAAGGGAAACACTGAAGTTTATTATAAAATAACATGTTTTAAAATCTATTAAAACTTGAGAACTAACATGGGTCAAGAATGCATATGCATAGCCATATCAAGTCTCTGTTTTGAACAATTTGAGTACTGTTGCTTCATAAAGCACTTATAATGGAGCCGGCAGCGTCTAGTGTACCAAACTTAATTCAAGACATTTTCCAAATGAGTAGGGGTTTGTTGGCGATTGGAAGCACGTAAAACGGAAAGGAATGCGGATAGCTAACGTGGCAGATTGCTTTCTAAAGAGTGATTTCTTTTAAAAAAACTTATATAACTTCTCTTAAGGGTTGTAATTCCCCTCAGACCCATCCCCCCTGCCTTTCTCCCCACTCTATTTAGTTAAGAATAAGGTTTTCCTTCCACATGTTCCTGTAAGAGTTCAGTGTGGCAGGGGTCTGTAGATAATCCACATATAACTCACAGTATACACTGCACACAGGCACACTTACCAGCAAATATTTCTAAACCGGTCTCTGAATTCCCTGGTTCTTTATAAGGGGCTCCTGGCAAAACCCTGAAGATGATCTGCGTGGAGCTGTTTTATAACTTAATTCAATTACAACACAGGAGCTTAATGACATTGTTTTGGATAAAATGCAGGAATATCTGTTCCCTGAATCTCAGACTCCTGCTGCATATGGTAAGAATAAAGAGAGAGTTGCAGCTGAAAACCTGCAGCAAGACAGTTCTCACTCATCTGGGAATAGAGGGAGTTGGACAAATGCTCCCTCAAAAGGCATGAACATTTGGACAGAGCTGGGGACTGAAAGAGAATGATGTTCTCTAGTTTCACCCATTAGTGAACCAACTAACAAACACAATGGTGTTGTTGTTATTCTTTTGCCATAAGCAACAGGACTCTGTGTGTGGGCAGCAGTTTAGTGGGGAGGAGGATAAGTCGACCCCTTTTTGTCCTATTGATTTTTTCCTATTTGCATGACTTGAGCAAATTAAATGATGCAATATGGCTTTTTGTTACAAAACAAAGTGAGAGATACCACCCAGACACATATGTTGATTCGTAGGAGCTGTTTACATGAGAATAGAGTGAAATCTACCGTGAACTGAGCATAAAAATTAGATTCAGCCCGGGTATTTTTTTTTTTTTTTATTATGCCTGGGCCAGCAAGACTGAAGCACAAGTTTTCCAAGAGTCTCTCAGACCTTGACAACTGCAGTGTTGTAACAGAGGAATTCTTAATTAAACCTAAAATGGGCAGAGGGAGGGGGAGCAAAGACACCTGATTGTTTATTTCACGTGCAGCGCTTGTTAATGACGTGATCCCGCGGTCTTCGCTGGCAGTACAGTGGAGGGCATACATGACTGCACCCCACGGCCAGAAAGATGTTGCAAACTCAAAAACGAAGCGTGTCTCCACCATCGCTATTTTCGTGTGTGGTTACGTTTATTATCACAAGGAAAATATAACTGTCATCACTCTCACAACGAGTTCCTAGAGAAAAAAAAAAAAAAAAACCTTCCCGGACATCCAAGTACCCGTGAAAGTCTGAACCTACGCTGTTACCAAATGAGGGAGAATCAGTTTTGTCTAAAGAACACTTCCTGGCAGAATCTCTCGCCAGCTTTCCGGGTTCCTAACCAGAGTACCAGCAGTTCCTTGTCGTTGATTGAACTATTGTAAATGCAAGCCACCACCCTCTGACGGGGCTGAAGATCATAAACCAACCATGCTTCAACCTCCTTTACGACTCACTCCTCTCCCTAGCCGAGCACGTGGAGAAAACGGCGCAAATCTTTTTACCCTAGAAAAATAAACCGGAAACCACAGCCACCTTAATTTACAGTTTCACCGCTGCCAGCGCCCGAGTCCATCCAAACACACTGGTGATCGCGATTCTTTTAGAACCCTTCTCCAGCCCAGGATGAGGGACCGAAAGGGCCCAGCGTGCACAGCATCCCTAGCACCGACCCAGGCCGGGGGGCGCCCGCGCGCGCGCGCGGACACACACACACACACACACACACACGCCGGAATCCCGTTAGCGTTTTAGCGAAGTGACCCAAAGAACTGCCCCAAACAAGTTCTGCCCTCCTCAGGGCTCCCTCGAGCTGCCAGAGCCGCCGCTGGGGAACCCCACCCTGCCAGGATGCCAAGCTCGCATCCGCGAGGCCGGCGAGCGCTTACCTGGTTCTCCAGGCGCCCCAGCCCCGGGCTGTCACTCCGCAGGCAGCAGGACAGCCGAGGGTAGAAGCCCCCGCACAGCACCTCGCCCCCGCTCAGCATCTCCAGCTGGGACATCATCCGCCTGTCTCTTCTCTTCAGGCGCTTCGGGGGGTTGCCGTTCAGGCACCTTCTCCTCCTCGCTCCGCTCCCCTCGCTTCTTTCCCCAAACTTAGCATCTCCTTCAAAGAAGCCCAGAGCCACGGCCAGCAGCAGCAGCTTAAAGGAGAGCATCTTCAACATCGCCCGCCGCGCGCGGCAGGGGCTGGGCGTGGGCGGACGGGGGCGAACGCCGCTGCCCGGCAGGGGCACTAGGGCGCAGCTCCGGGAGGAGGCTGCGGGGCCGGCGGGACACGCGCGCCGCAGAGGGAGGTGGCGGGGGCGCAGATGTGCAGAGCGGTGCAACTTTGCAAAAAATCACGGACGCGGCGAGGAGCCGGAGGCGCAAGATAAAGTTGTGCAGATGACACCGCTCGCGGTTGTGCCAGTGTCAGTTGGGGTAGGGGCTTTCTGCTGCGGCTGGGAAGTGGGAGGAGGAGGAGGAGTTGGAAGAAGAGGAGCAGACGGCCACAGAGGTTCACTTGTCCGTGTAACGGGAGTTGTTTAGGTGGGACAGTAGCAGGCACACAGGCAGAGGCGGCGGCGGCGGGGCAGGCGGAGGCAGGGCCGGCGCTGGGCTCTAGAGGATGCTGAGGTCTCCTCTGCCGGCGGCTGCAGCTTCTCACACAGCCTCTCATGTTTCGCTCTCTCTTTTCTTCTTCTTTTTAACTAGCGCGCGGGGAGGTGCTGCCACCGCGCGCCCCTTGACGTCACCGCTGCTCGCGCGCCCCCGCCCGGGGTGGGGAGAGGGGAGGGGGCGGCCCGCAGCGAGCGCGTCCCGCAGGCCCCGGCGGCCGCCCGGCTGGGCAGGGAGGGGCGGCGGCGGGGACGCAGAAGGTGGGCCCGCGACGCCTGCGAGCCAGAGCTGGCCTCGGGGGCGCGGAGCCCAGCGCGCCCGCCTTGCCGCGGCGCCCGGGTGGGGGCGTCCATGGCCCGGGTGCCCCTGGGCGGCCTGGGGCGAGGGCGCCGCGGGGGAGATCCCAGGGTTTGTCCCGAAGAGGCCACCCGGCCACCCCTCTCTCTCCTGCCCGCAGCACCTCCGCACTGCACGGGCAGCTGGCGGCCGACCCGAGGCTTCCAGAGAAAGTGAGTAAGAGCGGACTGCGGGAGGTGGGAAGGGAGGGCTCTGCCCTGGCCTCCCTCACCCTGGCCCCGGGGGGAGGGTGCACTTGGGGGCTGGAGCGAACGGCTGGCGGCTTCCCTTTCCCACCCGCGTGGACACCGCCTGGTCCTTGTGACTTTCGGCGAGAAGCGCGAGATCTTCCTGGGGGGATCTAATGTAGAGGCAGGGGTGGGGAGTGGTTAAGGGGAGAGACTCAGGTGCTGCGAGTCTCCGAGTAGGCTTGGATGCTTGGGAGACGGTTCCGAAAAGGGGTGCCCGCGCGGCGTGGGTCGGGTGCCGGCGAGCAGGTTCGGACAGAGGCTGCTCTCGCCCCGCCCCACCCCATTTGAAAAAGTTGGACCCTCTTCTTCCCGAGCCCCACCTGTGGCCGAAACTAAGCGGCGCGCAGCTGGCGCCCTTCCGGGGCCGCAGGTTCCCTGGCCCTAGGTGGGCGGAGAGAAGCTGCCGGCCGCCGCTCGGGTGATCAATTTAAATCACACACGCGCGCACTTCCCGGGGAGATACTCCCAGGGGTGTAAATACGGAGGCGTTAGTCCTGCAAGGAGAATTAGTTGCAGCTTTGCGGGCGTCCAGAAGCACGGTGCCTGCATGTCTCCCAAGTATACAAATAAATTAACCTTTCCCCCCAGCTAGGCAAAGTTTGCGTCAAGAAAGTGTGTCTAAAAACATATCTACGTTATCCAGAGCCGTGACTTGACGTGTGCTGGATCCCGGCACGCCGGCATCCTGAGCCTCTGTGGATTTGCATACCAAATGTGCTTTAACCCCGTTTGGGTGTTTAACAGGGGGGCTGATGGCCTGGTGGATGGCTTCTGATGAGGAGATAAGGCAGTTTTCCCATTTTGGCAATGGAGGAATGTTCACCATATTTGGATTTGCTTCAGTTCCCCGACTCAGAATTCGCCCAGCTTTTGTGAAGGTTGGTGGCCGTTGAGGTGGGCCGCTGAGATCAAACCAATTGCATTTAAAGTAGGCGCAGCTGCTGGGTTAAGGCTCTGGCCCTTAGATTTCCTGGGCTTGAGTTTTACTAGTGGAGCTAGGTTTTGCCCTGAGTGACCCATTAGAAGAATAACCGAGAAGAATCTGGTGGGGTGTTTGGCCCTGTTCTCTGCAAAAGGTAACAGAGAATTGCCCTGACGACATACTTAGCATTTCTTCCAGGGGCGATTGACATCTGTATGTGTGTGATTCTAGATGCTACCTTGGCTCCCACAGTTCTAGATGGCATTCTTCCTAAGGACTTTTAATGTAAGATACATCAGAGTGCTGTAAAGACTTTAAACTCTCTTATTTAATCTCCAAGATGAATCCCATCAAAATTAATTCACTTGCATAATTTCATCTAAAGAGGTAGTTTGAAAACTAGGACCCAGAGCCTAAAGTAGAGTGCTTTCCAAGGCTTTATTTCCAAATGCCAGTTTTGTGTTTTTTTTCCAAAATAAAAATCCTTCTGTAGTCATTTCAGTGATTTGAGCTCCCACTCTAAGTGATAAATTCATGTGAGTAGTTTCAGCACAGGCCTTCTTTATGGTTTGTACTAAAAGACTAAGAACACTTTAAGGTAAATTAATGTTGGTTTAAAAATTATTTATCTGTTATGATCTCTAACCCTAAGTCTCAAGATGCAGAATGTTTATAAAAGATTATGAAATGATGGGCCAGCGCTGTGGCGCACAGGGTTAAGACACTGCGTTGTGACGCGAGCATCCCATAACCGGGTGCCTGTTGGGGTCTGTTCGCCTTCCAACACAGATTCCTACTGATGCACATGGCAAGGGAGCTGATGATGACCCGAGGGCCTGGGCCCCTGGATGGAGTGTCTGGTTCCTGGCTTCATCCTGGCTCAACCCTGGCTTGATGCAGCCACTTGGGGAGTGAAGCATCAGATGGAAGATCTCTCTTTCTGTTTTACCCCCTCCTCCCCCTTTCAAGGAAATAAATCGTTAAGAAATCATGAGATGAGACTTGCTGGTTGCTTTTTGATGCAGTCAAGCCAGAATTGATTCCATCTACTGCTTATCATGAAAGCCAATACGTTGTTAATAAAGTCACTTATGCGGTAGCTGGGGTTATTCTTAGTTTCTCTGATACATTAATTTAATAGTCACTAGGCAGTGTTAAGCAAGTGGACTAACTTCTGATTTTTTTGTTTTGTTACAGAGGGAAAATTGCAAGCTTCACCTACAGCCAGACTGACAGCAGAATTTCTTTAGAATCAAGAATTAACACCGGTTTATTAACTAAGATTAAACCTTGAAAGACTGCAGCAGGGGAGCATAGCCATCTGCAAACTTGAACTTGAAAACTGATCTTCCATCAGGGAGGCCATCCTCTTCAGCTGAACCATCAGAAGTGGTGACAAGGAGCCCCTTCCTGAAGGAACTCATCCAGATGAGCCAAATCCTCCTTTTCTAAAAGCAAAGAAGGGAACTGCTCATAGCATCACTGGTCAACCTCTCCCAGGACACCACTGATATACAGGCTGTACCCTCTTCAAGGGCACCTGGAAAGGAAGCTGAAATCTTGCCTGGGATCCACTCACCAAGAAGTGCCTATGAGTGCTTGGCTGTGTCTAACCTGAGGATGAGGCTCCTTTTTCTCACTGGCATCAAAGCACTTTTCTGAGCTCCTGTTAACAATGATAACTGACACCTATACCCTAGTTTCCTTAGGGTTACATTCCTTGCTTCTCATGAAAAAATTATTATAAAAGATGAAATATTTGACCTATATTGAAATTAATTTCATATATAAAGCTCAAAATATCACCACATATGTGCATTGTTTTTTCTGTGTATGTGTATGTGTAAGTACTACTTAATTCCATTTCAACAAATATATATTAAGTATCAAGCATTGTACTAAGCCATATGTATGCAGTAATGAAAAATAATACAGATGCCTGGATAACTGCAAAAGGAGAGGCTTGAGGCCACACCACGTTTTATTTTTTTTAAGGATCCTTATTTATTTATTTGGAAGAGTTAGAGAAGGAAGGAGAGAAGGCAGGCTCACTCCCCAAATGTTCACAATGGCTGGGGCTGGGCCAGGCTGAAGCCAGGATCCTGAAACTCCATCCAGACCTCTCATGTGGCCCAAGTACTTGGGCCATTTTCCACTGACTTTTTTCAGGAGTGTTAGCAGGGAGCTGGATCAGAAATGGAGCAGCTGGGACTTGAAGTGGTGCTCATATGGGATGCCAGCATTGCAGGTAGCAGCTCAACTAACTGCACCACAACACCTGTGCTCACACTGTTTTTCAGTCTATGAATACTAGGTAACTTGTCCCATAATGGTCACATGGTACGGTGACTAGCCTCTCAATAAATGCTGCTGACTGGCCCATCTTGTTTGACTTGTTGCTTTTTAAAGGTTTGGAGTGGAGGAAATGCTTGCATTTTGAAAACCTTTTAATGTGAACAGAGGGAACAAATAAAATGCACAGTGGGGCCAGTATTTGGGGAGGATCTTTGGCTTGTGGTTAAGATGCTCACGTCCCACATTGGAGTACCTGGGTGTGATACCTGGTTCCACTCCTGATTCCAGCTAATGCAAAGGCTGACCCTGAGAGGAAGCCATGATGGCTTAGGTGACTGGATTCTTGCCACCCACATAGGAAAATAGGATTGAATTCCTGGCTCCAGCTTTGGCCCCAGTCAGGGCCATTACAGGCATTTTGGGGAGTGAATCAGCAGAGACGAGTTCTGCCTGTCCCTCCCCCTCCCTCTCTCACTCAAATAATTAAATGCAATTAAAAAAAAAAGTGAGCCATCACTAAAGGAGTTCAGGAGGCCATGCTGCTAAAAGTGTGATTCCACAGAGAAAGGGCAGCCAGCAAAGTCAAAGGATAAATACGCATCTTTAAAAAAATCAGATTGGCTATTGTCAAGCATACTGACACTATGATAGTGCTGCTAGTGGGACTTTTCCCTCCAGTTGTTCAGTCTTTGAAAAGTTGGCACCTGCTGTGTGTTGCATGCTGCTCTGGGCACTGGGAACAAAGAAAACCAGGTAACCGGAGTGCCTAGAGAAAGGGAACATGGGGTGAGGGGTGCTGGGGCTGCTTTCAAGGAGTAACTATGTATATAGTCAGGAAAGGTGTCTGCTGAGCCGAAAATTTGTGCCAAGTGCAAACATAGAGAACAGCAAGCCAAAGGCCATGAAGCAAGCATGCTTGGTATGTTCACAGATGAACAAGGAGGTCCACAAGGAGGGACAGAGAAAATGACAAGAAATGAGGACAGAGATGTAGCTAGGGCCGATTGTGTAGGAGCTGGCCTGCTATGTTTTGGACTTACTCTGGATGAGATGGGTTTTTTTTGGTGGGGAGGGTGCTGGGTCTTGTCTGAAAGAAACTGTGCTAGCTATTTCTACAGAGTGACTTAAATATAAGGAATTGCTTAAATGAGTGTTGGGAAACTATCAAAGCAAAAAAAAAAAAAAAAAAACACTGAAGTAAAATAGAGTAGCTGCAGGAAATGATACCTACGAAGCCGTTTTTGATCCTAGAGATTGAAGCATGGCAGGGGGAGGGCTACAAAATCTAGAAGCTTCCAGAGGGCCCTGAGGAATGGTGGAGATGGTGTCACTGCCCAGCTGATGCTGATGGTGAAATAGTTATAGACGTGCTGGAAGAAAAAGGGAGACTAGAACCACTAGTCATTGAGCAGATGTCTTCTTTTCCCAGGGCTGTTGTAACAAAGCCCCACAAACTGGGTGGTTTAAACCAAAGATAAGTTTATTTTGGTGCAAAACAGTTTTGAAATCCATGCATGGTTTTTCACAATACACATTTTTCATGAACTTTGTAAAGATCCCTTGTATATATGGATTTCAATGTTTTTGCACCAAAATAAACTTGTCTTTTAATTTCATTTTCCAAAGACTTTTTTGAAGTACTTGCATGTTGTCTTGGGGCTTTAGAGAACCAGAAGTCTGAATTTAAGGTGTCTGCATGGTTGGATACTTTTTAGGGATGTGAGGGGAATCTCTGGGCATCTCCTCTAGCTTCTGGTAGTCTCCATTTTTCTTCACCCTGGTGTGTAGATAGTGTTCTCCCTATGCCTTCCCTTTATGTACGTCTGTCTTTGTATCTTAAATGTCCCCTTTTTATAAGGACAGAAGTCACTAGAGTTCACTCTATTCACTTCATATTATTTTATTTGAGAGACTTTCCATCCACTGGTTCATTCCACATTTGCCTACAGTCAGGAACTCAATCCAAGTCTCCCACGTGGGTGGCAGGGACTCAACCCAGGCACTTCAATATGGGATGGAACTGTCCCAGGTACCATTTTTTTTTTTTTTTTTTTAAGATTTATTTGAAAGGCAGAGTTACAGAGAGAGAGGAAGAGATAGATCTTTTATCTACTTGTTCACTCGCCAAATGGTCACATATGCCAGGGGTTGGCCAGACCAAAGCCAGGAGGTGGGAACTTCATCCAGGTCTGCCACATGGGTGCAGGAGCTCAAGGACTTGGGCCATCTTCTGTGGCTTTCCCAGGCTCATTAGCAGGAAGCTGGATCAGAAGTGGAGCAGACTCTGATACTGCCCCTTCCCCCCAACTGACATCTTAACTGAAGCACAAAATACCTACCCCAGTTACCTGAATATTTTGTAGGTTTTTAATCATTATTTTTAAAAAGCTAATTAAGTGCATTATAGGAAACAAAGAAACAGGAAGAAAAGAACATCACAATCACAAGTAGTTTAGTTCAACCTGTTCTTCTGGATCCTTTGTGTGCAACCCAACATCTAATTTATGTGACTAAGTTCATACAGAATGTATGTATCATGCTTTCTGACACTTCATGAATTTTATAAGCTCAAAATCTAAAATCTATGAATATTTTGCTAGCCAAGAGGACACTATACCAACTCAATCTATTAGGAAAAAATGTAATTCTGGCTTTCATGGGGACAAAAATTTCATAAAAGAAAAAATGGCAACAGGCCTATAAATACAATCTGATCTAGTTATGATTAACACCCTGCATTCCTTTACTGTCTGATTTAAAAGACACACAGCAATGGTGCATTCTAAGTGTAATGTTTCAAATGGAATTCATGATAAGTTTGATAATACTGAAATATTAGCAAGAAGGTATGTTTCCATTGAATCATTTAATGCATTCCTATAGCACAGCCAAACACAGTGCACCTACATCAATGGCTGTCATCAAAATGTAAATATGAGCACATCTGCACACATCTCTTGTATTTCTTTTTGTCCCTTTGCTGCCAATCCATTAAGTATGACTATACACTGCTCAGAGGTGGTTTAATAATTCCAGGTCCAAGATGCGTCTTTTCTGTCAATTATTAAATAAAGATACATATAAATTTACTATTTCACTAGCTCTATTTTTTCTCATACATTTTCATCTTAGAACATCTATAAAGATTAGATATTTGGTGAATTTTAAACACAAAGAGGCATCTACAAATGTATTATTTGTTACTCCTACTTCTAACACTTGGTGCACTTTTAAATATCTATAAAGACTAGATGTTTCAAAAAAGGACTTAAGTTTGTCTACTACATACACAATAGTGTTGAATAAACTATACACGTATAACTGGCTATATGTAAAAATATCTTTTTTTTTTTTTTTGACAGGCAGAGTGGACAGTGAGAGAGAGACAGAGAGAAAGGTCTTCCTTTGCCGTTGGTTCACCCTCCAAATGGCCAGCGCACTGCACTGATCCGATGGCAGGAGCCAGGTGCTTCTCCTGGTCTCCCATTGGGTGCAGGGCCCAAGCACTTGGGCCATCCTCCACTGCACTCCCTGGCCACAGCAGAGAGCTGGCCTGGAAGAGGGGCAACTGGGACAGAATCCGGCGCCCCGACCGGGACTAGAACCTGGTGTGCTGGTGCCGCAAGGCGGAGGATTAGCCTAGTGAACCACGGCGCCGGCTTTAAAAATATCTTCTAAATAGGAACATTCATGAAGACCTAGAGAATCCTTCAGTTCTTCAAAATCCTTCTCTCTACCACCAACAGGTAGATGTGGGTACATGTATCACCAAGATGTGATATAATTTCACTTCAAAAAGTCCTTTTCAGAATACAGCCTTTTTATGAATTTTAACACTAAGTATACAACATGTGTTAGTTTACTAACTCTACTTTTTTCATATATTGGCAAACTTCTTTGATATCTAGCAAGTACATTTTATAAAATAAGACACCTTTGTCCAGTATATACATAATATACACATTACAACAAAGCTAAATGATATGTATTTAATGGATAGAACAGTGGGTAAGCTGAAATTTTCTAGCACACACTAACAAAACACCTTTTGCAATTTCTTCCCTTTCACCTCTCTCAATCCAATAAACAAGTACAGATTGTATATAGTAAATTAGGCCAAAATGTTTATATTTTGAAGATACTTTCAAATTATAACTATTGTTACTTATATAGTTTAAGACTGCTGTGTATATAGCAGACACATTAAGTCCTTATTTGAAACATGTCTTTGAAATGTGAACACTTTAGACTAGAATCCTTCCCTTTTCCATTAACTCAGTGAGCTAAAATACTCACATTTTTAGCAGATGATCTTTCCTAGAAATTTTAACACAAAATTTACTAATTTAATTCATCTTTGGTCATACACTGGCAACTTTAGCATCTAGGAATAGATGTTAAGAGTTATTTGTCCGGGGGCCGATGCCGTGGCTCACTTGGTTAATTCTCCACCTGTGGCACCAGCATCCCATATGGGCACGGGTTCTAGACCTGGTTGCCCCTCTTCCAGTGCAG